TGGAAAAACAGGTTTGTGTAACTTTGGGTTAATCTGGATTGAAAAAAAGTTATAAGATTATCAACCAACACAGAGATTGTTTTTAAAGTTCTGCTCATTTCCACCCCATTTTTCAGTCAGTAGTGTTGGCATACCAGAAAGCGCCTAATTTAATTGCTCTGTTGTCTTGAAAACATTTCTTTGGCTGAGGCTTTCACTACCCAAATGCAACTGGTCTTTGTGTGTGTGTGTGTGTTTCTGATGCCAACAATTTGACTTTGGGAATAATTTGAATGTCCAATATATATTTTTTCTATCTGAATATTTATCGTGATGTTGATGCAGTCTATATTGTGGTGACTGCTGCTCATGTTTGGTTCAGGTATGTTTCCCAGGACATTTCAAAATTCTTTCAACTTACAGAATTTAAGCATAAAATGAATCTTGACTGTCCAGGTTACTTAGGTATAACTATGTTTTTCAGACAGTGTTTTCAAATAGAAGTTGTTCTTTATTACACTGCAAGTGGAATGGTGATGTTTTGAAACCTAGCTTAACTTGTACAATGTGAGTGTATAAAATAATCTGAAAATACCTTTAAAAAAGCAATGTCATGTGGAACCACAAACTTTAATGTAAAAATTTCTGCAGTGCAGATGCTGGTACATTCACTAATGCAAACCTTCTTATCTGAGTGATTTGCTTCATTATATGAATTAAAACCTCCCTATTTTGGAGAAAGAATTTTTATTTGGAAGCTTATTTAGGTATGTAAATATCAACCTTTGGAGGTGATTTTGATTCTTTTGGCTTCATTTTCGGATGTGACTCAGTCTATGAGAAGTTGGGTATCTTTAGAGTTAATGACAAATGCTGCCTATTTTGCTTTAATTGATATGGGAACCATGAGGTGATGGGTCAAGCTTTTCCATTTTTTCCAAAGAAGATTCATGTGAATGACCTCTTTATACTGCAAATACTCAGTCAGACTTGTTTGCTCTGAATGTGATGAACTTGTATTTTTTGATACACATATAATACCTTGAATAGCATCTTTAGAGTGTGTTGCTTTCAGTCTCATGGCAACTGCAAAATCAGAGTTTGTAAAATGCAAATGCTTGCCTCTTAGAGACCGGCCAGCTCCTTTACATTTATAAAAGCAGGAAGAGACAAGATCACTATTCTTTTCATTGGTTTGTTTCAAAAATTTTCCTTAGTTCTTTATTATTGAGGTCACTTTTGAGAGGTTCTTGGTTTTTTTAAGTATATTCAGTATAATGCTTTCTTATTCTTTATTTAGCAGGTCCCAGGAATATGAATAGTGATATAATAAGCACAAGAGCAAATTAAGAAAAAAGTTGAGCTATTCTGTTTCTACTTTTTCCTTCACTCATACTGGAGTAGCAAAAGTATGAGCCTGGCATTATTTCTGAACACTTGTTTTCCAAGGTGGCCCGAGGCTTTAGGAGCAGTTTAAACCCTGTGATCTATGCTATGCGTTCACACTGATGCAGTGCAAGGTGAGCTGCACGGTCACCACTGAGAAGCAAAAGTTCCTACCATGCTACCTTATGGGATTTTCCTAGGTACAATTGGACTTGTTGTTTACCGGAATATCAATTTTTTACAACCTTGTTATATGCAGTAGGGATATTTGACAGCCCTCCCTTTGAGGATTCTATTTTACAGGTTAAGTCATTATTGCATAAATCATTCTTGGCAGCTTGAAATATTGCCTGAGGTGATAAAGCTGTAAATCTTTTGACATAGAACTCTAATTATTCAAAACTATAATTATGCTGAGGCTTATATAAGGATGGGCAAGTGTTTTAATAGCGTAATGCATTCACTTTAAAAACACCTTTTTAGGAATAGTGATTGAGAAATAGCAAACACGTCAGTTATTCACTAGCTTATGGTTTGGATATGATGTTAATTGTAAGAACACAGGAAAGAATAGTTTAGTTTGTCATTCCTTAGTTTATTGCTCATCCTGTTTGGGTGGTGTCATGGATTAGAGCTAGCTAGTTGAAGTGCTAAACCTCCACGTCAGCCATATTTAGACACAATTTTTACTTTAAATTATCTAGCAACTCTAAACATTTGGAACATCAAAGTGAATTTCTCCAAGAGAAATAAAGGTCTTAACCCAGTAGAAAGTCAGAACATAAAAATACATTATTTTTAGAGGTCAGAGCATTCCTATATTTTTGCTATTGTGCTTTTAAACATAGTACAATGACAATTTTGTTAACAAAAGAGAAATATCCCTATTTTTGTGTTGCTTTTAAAGAACTAAAGGAAAATAAGGGGCTGAGGGAAGTCCTTTTTTGATCCAGACAGGGACCAGAGCCAGACAGGGCACCAGTCATGCTGGGACCAGTACAAAGTTCTGGCTGCAGTGTTTGATTCAGCTAAACTAAAAAGAGGCTTTGGTTTGGGAACATTGAATCTATCATCTCCAATAGTTATTTGGAAAGACTTTATAGCAAATGTGTTGTAAGTGAAGGTGAAGGTGTGTACTGAGGGCGGCCTTTCTCTAAGGTATTGTTTTAGGCACTAAAGGAACAATTGGAGGAGACGCAAAGGAGGATACAAACTGATCTCTGCTCTGAGGATATTTGTATGATAGAGTGATTGCTGTTCATTTCTATCTTCTTCTCAAAGATGTTTCCATGAAGTTTTTTTTTTAAAAAAACATAATATATGGACTATGAATGAAGAAGCTTTTATATAAATGGAGAACAGAATTTAAGGTTAATTCCCACCCTTCCTCTATTCCCCAACTCTAATATAAACATGTTTATGTATATTTCCTGTCACCTTCTGTCATTTATATACAATAATAACTTATTAAGGAAACAGTGTAGTTTAGTTAAAATTTCAATAGCTCAAAAAAAATCATACAATAGCTTTATATAAGTTATATGGCATGCAAAATATTCAATTCTCCTAATTCCTGAATTGTGTAGTAGAGATATAGATGATAGTTTTTTNCCCCGCCTCCTCCCCTCACCCCGCCTCCTCCCCTCTCCCCACCCTCAGCCCTTCTCACCCGCGGCAGTCCGGAAGGTGAGGGGAATGGATTGGACTCCGGTAAGGAAAGCGCGTATCTAGAAGTGGTGCTAATGGGAAGAGATTTCTGGCTTCCAAAGAGGATGCTCTGCTACAAAGAGCGGCTGGCGCGCTGGCCTGGGCTCTAGCCAGAGGAGAGATCCTGGGAGAACTCCGGAGCTCGCGGGGAGCGCTCCTGGAAGACCGAGGTCAACATGCCTGTTCGCAGGGGGCATGTGGCACCACAGAACACGTTTCTGGGGACCATCATACGGAAATTTGAAGGGCAAAGTAAGTTCATTTGTTCTCTTCTTCTCTCCCTCGCTTTTCGCTTTGATAGTGCACTTAGCGTCCGCCGCTGACAAACTGGGGAGACGGCAACTCCGGGCTCTGTCAAGTTAAGAGGCTGTGAAACCTAGCCAGGAGGTTCGAATGGCAGCGGGAGTGTGCTCCCTCTTATATTAATTTTGATTTACATTTTAGATTACGGTCTCCATGATCGGAGGCAATTTGATACTCCTCTCCCACTCCTCCATTATCTGCCTCGCTTCTTAATGTCCTGCTCTTCTACTGTCTTACAGGGAAAGAGCTAGTATAGCCTGGGTTTACATTTTGAGGCTATTATACACTTATTAAAAGTCAGGAGCAGGGCAAAGAATATTTTTGGAACAAGAGAATGTAAATAGTAGCAGAGATGCAAATGGCTATGCAAACCGTGTTTTGCCTTGGTTAAATTGCAAGGCTGTGGTATGACAGGGATGCTTGCCTGCTGCTAGTTTATAGAGGCTAAACTTTGCATTGAATCTATGCAAATATACTCCAGGCAGGATGGTCTGGAAAAAGTAATATCTACTTCGTGCTGGTTTTCAGGTCATTATTCAAGATAATATTTCTGTCCCTTTATTATCTCCTTAATTTTTCATCTAGATATTTAAAAATTGAAGTGCAATAAGTAAATCCCACAAAGACTGCGAGAGAAATTTAATATGCTTATGTGGACGAGCTATAAGGAATGAATTATTGTTATATAAATATGCTAATTTTAAATCCTATACTTGTTAATTGATGTTTGACATTTTCTAAAAACCACATTAACACACGTATGTTGTACATTTTGCAGTGATAGTTATGCCTTTAGTGACATGAGTATATAGTAGCTTGTGTATAAAATAAACTTGTATATCCCGCTTCATACTCTATCTAAAAATAGTAAATATAATCAGTGGTCAAAATTAATAAACCTTTTATATTAAAATACCTACTACTACACAAAAATTCAGGTTTCTCCCACGGTAAAAGTGAAAAGGTGTTAAAGGTGTTAATGTGATATTTATTTTGTATGTGTGTGTGTGTGTGTGTGTGTGTGTGTGTGTGTGTGTGAATCTTTATGTTCTGGAAAATATATATTATGAAAAGGGAAGCTTTGCATTATTAAACTGCTAATTAATGTGAAATAGTTTCATTGCTAATAGTTTCATGTGTGTTGTGTGTAGTGTGCCTTAGAGAGATAGAGAAAAGCCAAATTCAAGAATAATAATCACTTTGAGAAAGTTGCACTCTAAGGGCCAGGGTTTAAGTGAGAAATCTTACAGCTACAGGATGTTTTAAGGTTTGGGCTTTGAAAATATTTACCTTACAATTAGATGACACTCTGGAAATATCAATGGGGCAGCTAGTTGTCTGAGTAATCATTAGGACCCAAGGGAGTTAGAGGGATTGAGAACTAGGTTATTTGGAAGATTACATTCTCAAAATTTGAAGAGTAGTTCCTTAATACTTTTTTCTTTGTTCTTGTTAAAACTACTTAGCACCATTACTTTCACATTTAAGGTTGTTGTTTTTCCTTTTAAAAGCCTGGGCATTTAGCAGTTTGGGAAGCACCTGCATTTCAGATCTCTTATTTTGCAACAAATTGTTTCAGTGTTTATGAGAATCTTGTGGAAACTTTTTCAAAGATACCTTACTATCTTCTTATTACAGATAAAAAATTTATCATTGCAAATGCCAGAGTGCAGAACTGTGCTATCATCTACTGCAACGATGGGTTCTGCGAGATGACTGGTTTCTCCAGGCCAGATGTCATGCAAAAGCCATGCACCTGCGACTTTCTCCATGGGCCCGAGACCAAGAGGCATGATGTTGCCCAAATTGCCCAGGCGTTGCTGGGGTCAGAGGAGCGGAAAGTGGAGGTCACCTACTATCACAAAAATGGTAAAGTTGATCTATTTTAAATTTTTTGTATTTGGTTCCATTGAAATGATATTTTGACAAGTGATTACTGAAAGCTCACAGGCACTGAAGCCCCAAATATTCAGGTGTAGGTATATGCTTTGCTGATAGTATTTAAAGATTCAACAAATATTGGTACTCTCATTAGTAGCCTAGTAGGAACAATTTCTTCTTTGAATAAGGGTACTCTGTACTCTTCAAAAGTTTAGTAACTTAACGTCACTGAGGACAAAAGGCCACAAATCAGTCTTACTCTCTCTCTTAAGGAATAATAAAAAGGCCGATAACTTGCTGGTTGTATTGATATGTATTTGGTGGTAGAGAAATGCAGAGTTTTACTTGCTTGAACTTGAAAATATTTTATAAAACAAAGTCTTGTTGAAAACCGTATCCCTGAAACTAAAACTATTACAGTTATATATGTTTCTTGGCTCTTCAGCTTCATTTGACAGTCAACACCTCTTTTCTCTTTTGCTCCTTTTTATACATGATTAAGGATGATATATAAGAAATTATAAAATTGATCTAGTAAACTTATGTATATTCAAATAATAAAGACTGTTCATGTATGCAAGTTTTGTCCTAATAAACGAAATGAAGAAAAGGAACTATGATGCTGTGGAGTTATTAGTATTCATTTTTACAGCTGCAGGAAAACTGGGATCTCCAACTTAAGGTCATACCTCAACTTCAAGGGCACTCCTCCTTTCAGTCTTGCTATGGGAGCATAAATATGTTAGACCTATAATAGTTCTCAAAAAATACACATTGAATGGATAGGCATTAATTAATGCCATATATATATATATATATATATATATA